TCTACGGGTAAAATGTATATGTTGAACTCATCCAAAAGAGAATACAAAGTCAACGGGGCATTCCCCTGCCAATAGATTTACAAATACAAATCTAAACAAGGCATTAGGGTACAATCTGCAGGATCTTACCCAAGGCTGAAATCAAACAAACAGAATAGAGGAAGATCTTCTACGCTTATTCGGATGATTAGTAATACAAATAACAGAGATTAAAATTAATTTGGTGGGTGGCCTAGTCAGAAATAATTCATCTAAAAGTGCTTGAATGAATAAAGCTGAATGCTCTGATATAGCTATTAAAAGAGACTTAATACCAAAAGGAAACTGATGGTGAAAATGAGTATTTGGTACATACTAGGGCTGCCAGCAAACTGTTACCCATGGTTTCCTTCCTGTTGTCGCCATCCGTTTGTGAGGCCGCTGATATATAAATCTGAGAAATGCGTCCATAACACACTCCTCCACCATTAGATCTTTTAGGTTTGAATCATAAGCCTTAACATTTTGTGCATCTCAAAAGACAGGTTTTGAAATATTGATTGCACTGGAATATGCAGGAGAAAATACTGTGAGTACCCTTGGCCGTGCGGTCCTAATCATATGGCTCTTTGTGGTCTTGATAATCAACTCCAGTTACACCGCAAGCTTGACCTCCATTCTCACGGTGCAGCAGCTATATTCTCCCATAAAGGGAATTGAAAGTTTGAAGGAAGGGGATGATCCCATAGGATACCAAACTGGTTCTTTTGCTGAGCGTTATTTGGTTGATGAAATTGGGATACCTAAGTCCAGGCTTGTCCCGCTGGGATCACCTGAAGCATATGCTGCTGCACTTGAGAAGGGACCCGCAGAAGGGGGTGTTTCTGCGGTGGTGGATGAACGCCCTTATGTTGAAAGCTTTTTGTCAAGCCAATGTAAATTCAGGATTCTTGGCCAAGAATTCACCAAAAGCGGATGGGGTTTTGTGAGCATCTCTCTCACTACACTTCTCTATTCCAATATGGCATTTAGTTGTACACTACTACCACCCATAATTGCAACATTTCAAATTTTACAATATTCACGTCCTCTACTTTGATTGCATATTATTTATAAATGTATTAAAACTTTAATTTTTTCAAAATATACTCTCTAATTAAATCTTTTTCATGTTAAATTTTCCAAATGCGGTTTTTAAAATTCTTACAATTATATGCCAAAAGCAAAAATTCTTACAATTAGAAATTAATACTACATATATATCAATGATCAAAGTTGTGAATTGACAAACATGAAAAGTGGAAGTGTTTCAATTAAAAAAGAGCAGAGGAAGTATTCATTAATACTGCCTCCCTATTTATTTGACACAATGTTTAAGAGAAAAATAGTAGAGGTAATGAATAGTGTGGAAAAAAGTAGGAGAGAGTGAAAAAGTATGATAGAGAACATGAAAAATAAAATAAACTAAGTGTAATTGAATATTTTTGAAGGAAAATCTTACCAAAAACAGAAAGTGTAACAAATAAAAAATACTTCATAAAAAGAAAAGTGTAGCAAAAAATGAATACAGAGAGACCAAGCGCCAAATCACGAGATTAGTCAGGGACTCGGGGTCTGCAGTCTAAGTGTGATGGGTGTAAGTACCTTGTGATCCGATAACATTACTTTGACACTCTCAAGGAGTAGGTCACATGTTCAAATCTCTTCCTAATTGAAGGATATTGACCTAACATAAAACATATACTATAATAAGTTAGAAAGCTCAATAAAAAAGTGTGGGGGTGACCATGCGCTTCTTTAAAAATTTAGGACATCCTCCCTTGATTTGCAATTTTAAATTTGATTTAATCTGATCTGATCTTGATTCCAAGTAGGTGCGTAGCTAGCTAGGCTCCGATCCAGTCCAAATTTTAAAAATGATGTATTTTCTATGTTAGGAATATTACGTTAAAAGTTGTAAAATAATATGTGCATTGGCCCATCCTGAAATTATTTGTGACAGTGCCACTCGTTGTGGGGTTTTGTATTGCCACTTTTGCTTGGTCTGATATGGTTTAATAAAGTGAATGGTCCGCGGCATGACTTGTTGAGTCTTGGGTGCTTCGTCACGAAAGTTGTAACACAAAGATACCATTTGGTAATATCCAAATCAGCTGTATTGACTGATTCTGCTGAATTTATGAAGTCTTCTGGCTGATTCTCTTGATTTATGAAAAAATTGTAAAAAAATATATTTTATTAATAAAGTAAAGAAAAAATTAAATGAAAAACAGCTAAAATGACCCAACCTTGAGCCAATATCCAGAAAAAGTAACTTCAACCTTACTTTTTCTTATTATTACACGATTCAGCGCGCGAAATAAAAAATTATGTGTTTGGTGAAATAGTTGGTGGATAAGCTTGATAAGTTGAAAAAAGACATTGTAATAAAGACATTGTACATAAAAAAGGTTATTGGAATCTTTCTTAATGAAAGAGTAGTGTTTAAAAACTTAAAATTGCAAGAGGTCATGGATGATGATTCCATGAATAATGAGAAATATTCGAGAATATGATAATATAATAGACATATAGTATAGATTGATGAATAGGAGAGAATTGAAGATTTCAAAGTCTACCAAAAATAGGAATGGTATTTATAGGAAATTTTGTTTCCCCCCACTCAACCCCTCCAATGCCCCCCAACGGGTCATTAGCTTTCCTCAGTCTTTTGTTTCACTAGAAACAGATGATAACTAAGTCTCAAAATGTAATTGATTACAGGTCACTTGAATTTTCATTATTAAAAAATGGTACTCCTGAATTGTTTTCTTGGAATAATTTGATATGTAATTTGTAATGAGTGTTGTTGTTGTTGTTAATGCAAGGCTTTCCCGCGGGACTCGCCCTTGGCCACCGACATGTCTACAGCAATTTTGACACTGTCTGAGAATGGGGAGCTGCAGAGGATTCATGACAAGTGGTTGGTCCGAGCTGGTTGCGGTTCGGATGGAACCGAGATTGATTCAGACCGTCTTCATCTCAAGAGCTTCTGGGGTCTATTCGTCATTTGTGGTGCAGCTTGTGTCCTTGCGCTACTCATATATTGCTGCCAAATCATTCTCAAGTTCCGCCGAATTGCTCGTGCCGAATCGGTTGGAGATGGCTCCGGCAGTTCGCATTCTAGAAACTTGCGAAGGCTGATATCACTTATTGATGAGAAATCTGATCCCTCAAAAAGGGACAAGAAGAGGAGAAAAATTGATGCACAACAACAGAGCCACTCTATGGAGAACAGTGCAAGTGGAGGCCGGACTCCAACACTTTTAGCCCCCCCAGCTACACTTCTATCAATCCCAGGATAATTAACGTCTCTATTTTCACTCTCCCAACTGCTTTTGTCTCTCCTCATCCTCTAGTGTTCAGAGGGTGTTGGGCTACAAGAGCAATTTGTGAACAATTCATGGAGAGGATTATTTTTCCAACACCAAAAGTATGCCGAGGTATAACCGCATGATTGAAATTGTCATTTTCCCTTTTGTATTGTTGGTTGGTTATTCACAGATAAATTCTCTATTTATGTTGCACTTCTAGTCTTGTCCTAAAGAGGACAGGACATCATTCTGTATACAACAATATGGGCTTGGAATCTACAGAAAATGAATGATAACTAGCTAACATAGTTTGTGTATATGGAAAACCTTGAGATTTGGTGATGATTGTTTCTCTCTGTGTGCCCAGGAATTTCTTGCAAGAGGCATCACATAATTCATGTTGTCTATAGCACTATGGATGGACGTTTTTCAGGGGTTTAAATAGGTTATCCAGATCATAGTCTCTTCATTTATGGGGCTCCAATTTTTAAAAAATTTATCTGTATTATATAGTAATATTATAATACACTATTTGTATATTTTACTATTCACTTGGTCAACATAAATCACTCTTAATCTTTTACTTTATATATCAAAAGTTTACGAAATTTGAATTATTTTTTGCAGGTTTTGTAACGGTTTTAATGTAGTTTCTGAATATGTAAATTTTATTTTTTAAAACTAATTTGAGTGTTGACAGGGATTAATTTACTTGGTCAACCACCTTATACTAGGTATTATGGTCAGCCATCTTACAAAAAAATGTGTATTAGTGAACCCTAGCAGTAGACTTAGAGTCACCACCTTATACTCCCCAACATGATTGACGGAGTATAGTAATACTAATCTCTAAAATGAAAAATATCAGAGAGAGTAACCCTAGCGGTTGTCTTCCCTCTTTGTAGGGGTTGAGATTTCCGCTGCCCCTACCAATATGGGGTTGGAGCGGCAAATTATACTTATTTTAAGTGTTCTAACGCTTGGGATTGCAACTACGTCGGGGAAGAGCAATTTGTGAACAATTGCCAGGGTATAACCACATGACTGAAATTGTCATTTTCCCTTTTATATTGTTGGTTATTCACAGATAAATTCTCTATTTATGTTGCACTTCTAGTCTTGTCCTAAAGAGGACAGGAGATCATTCTGTACACAACAAAAACTTGAATTTATCGCAAGAGGCATCACATAATTCACTGTCTATAGCACTATGATTGTCTATAGCACTATGGATGGCCACAGTTCTGTATCAAGTTGGTTATGGTTGGACGTTTTTTAGGATGTTAAATAGGTTATCCTAGGGATGGATTCGGTTCGGGCCACCCGGCCCGTGACCCGGCCCGGCCCGGTACTGTGCGGGCCCGGGACCGGCCCGGTCGGGCGGTCCGGGACCGGGTATGGACCCGAACCGATGGGAAGGGGCGGGGCGGGCTCGGTTCTGGATTATTGTGACCCGACCCGGCCGGGTCGGGCCCGGGCCCGGGTCCGGGTCTATTTTTTTTTTAAAAAAAAATTTGGTTTGGGCTACTACTCCTACTAGCCGTTGGGGGTGGGGCTGGGGACAACCCAAACGGCTATATAGCCGTTGGGTGGGGTAAAGGGGGGGTCCGGGGGGGTTGGCTGGTGGGGGTGGTGGGGGGGGGTGGGGGGTAAAAAAACCTATAAATACTCCTAATCTTAAACATTTTTTCATATCTCTTCTCCAATTCTTCCTAAATCCTATTCTTAACTCTCTACTCTCTAATTCTCTTATTCTCCATTCTCCAATATATTATATTTATTATTTATAGTTTATATTAATTATCTACTTATATAAACTATAAATAGATATAAATAGTATTATATTACTTATATTTGTTATCTAATTATATATTACTTATATATTTATTATATCTATTAATATAGTTGGAATTATATCTAATTAATTTGAAGTCATTCTATTACTCCCACCCGAAAGACCGAAAGTCCGAAAGAGGTACGAAATTATTCTATTATTTACACTTGTTTAATTACTAGTTAATTTGCTACATTTGACTCTTGTTTAATAGTTAGATAAATAGTTAATTAGTTTTTTACAATTTTTTATTAATTGCTACATTTGACTCTAGTTTAAAAAATATGTTGTACACAAAACTAGTTAATTCACTACTTAATTTGCTATAACTCAAATTAATAGTTAGATAAATAGTTAATTAGTTTTTTACAATTTTTTATTAATCGCTACATTTTTTAGATGGATCGTCCTAGATATTCGGTTGATATGGGTAACCTCGAGCGCAACCGAACGAAAGAGCTTGCGAGGAAGAGATCCCGCAAAGCCGCAAAGGTAAATCACATATCGGCTCTTCATCTCAAAGTCAAGATGATTTTGATACGGGTTACGTAAGGAGGGATGGGAATGCGATGACTGACGAACAACTAGAACAAGAATTGCACCGACATAATTCCCGCTTTTTTCAAGACCAACCGAGGACCATTGACGAAGAAGAGCTCGAGGACGAGGACGACGATGTGGAGGAAGCAATTCCGGAGAGCCACGACGACGAGGAGGAGGAGGGTGGCGGCAGCCATGACGCCGACCAGGTAGCCTCATCCCAAACAGGTACAAAAAAAAGTAAATCTGAATTAATGGCTAATAATTTTTCTAAGTGGAAGGACCCGAACATAGGGCTGAGCAAAACCGACCCTACCCGAATAACCCGATCGGGTGAACCCGATTTTTTGTGATTGGGTCGGTTGACCCGACCCGAACCCAGCGACCTGAACCACCCACCCTATAATTTTTGGGCCGACACCAAGCGGGTAGGGTTCTCCTAATCCCTACCCGAACCGCCCGAAAACCCGACCAAGCCTAAGCCCATTACCCAACTCCCCAACTACCCAAGCCCATTAGCCCACAGCCCACTCCCTTAGTCCCTTTCCGGCTTTCCCTTATCCAGTTATCCCCATTTCCATTCGACCATTACCCTAACTTACACTCTCAGACTCTCTCTCTCTAACTCTCTAAGCGGCTAACCCTAATTTGGTCTGACTTCTCACTTCGTCGGCCGCCGTTGCCGTCGTTGTAGGGCTGTAGGCCTGTAGTCCTCAACCGAGTGGAAGCCTTCATCTCCTTGTAGGGTTTACCGTCTCTACTCTCTAACCTAGTGGAACTGTGGAAGCCTTTCATCTCCTTCGTCTCGAGCCGTTGAGGTATAAAATACTTATTCCGTTATTCGTATTATGGTAAGTTTAGTCCTTGATGAATGATGATGCATGGATGTTCTGAGTTGTGATTAGTCTTGTGATGTTCGTATATTTGTGAAACTTGCATGTACAAATCTGTTCGAATGTTCGGTTATCCACTTATCCTGTTGTCCTTGATGAATGATGATGCATGGATGTTCTGAGTTGTGATTAGTCTTGTGATGTTCATATATTTGTGAAACTTGCATGTACAAATCTGTTCGAATGTTCGGTTATCCACTTATCCTGTTGTCCCTGTTAATTGTTGATGTATATTATGATGCATTCAAAATTTCAAATCTGTTGATTTGAAATATGAATGAAGTGTGGAAGCTAATCAAGCTATATATTCTATATTCATGTGTTGCCTACTGAGTACTGACTACGGTTATCCAGTTGTCCCTGTTATGTTGTTTGTTGTACATAAGTAACATAACTGCCTTATTATTTTGATGAAGAAGCCTTTTTCAACTCTAGTACTCAAACGAGTACAAAGAGTGAACTGGGTTCTTCAGAGTCTGTAGAGAAGTGAAAAAGCAAAGTGCTTTTATCCTTCTGTAAATCAGCTTGCTGATTGTTCCAGACTTACATATTATGGTTATTATTTGTGAGATATGAACTCTGTGGAAGCTCTTACTCACTGCATATGTACAACTCTTATTCATGTGTTGCGTACTTGCCTTATCTGTGAGGTATGAACTCTGTGGAAGCTTAGTATACACATATCAAAATATCATGTGTTGCTTACTTGCTTACATTAGATGGACCCTGAAGAATGTGTGACCTTTTCTACATCTGGATCTCAACCTCCTCTGAGTCAAGAAACAGTGGTGGAAAGTCAAATTCCTGAGCCTAACATTACCAATGAGCAGACTGCACCACCTGCTGTTTCTGGACAAAAGAGAAAAGTGGTTGACAAAAGATCTAAGATTTGGGATCACTTTGATGAAATTAAGGATGAAAAGGGTGTGGTTATTAAGGGGAGGTGCATATACTGTGCAAAAATATACTGTTGTCACTCTAAGAAACATGGAACTTCCTCCATCAGAAATCACATGCTTAATTGCATGAAAAAACCCCATGCTAAAGACACTAGACAAGCCCTATTAACCTTCCAGCCTGTACCTCCACAGACAGGTGAACCATCTGGAAAGACTGGGGTCATGGGAACTTGGGTATTTGATCAACAAGCTATTAGGAGAGCTCTAGGTGAAATGCTAATCATTGATGAGCTTCCTTTTAGATTTGTAGACAGACAAGGTTTTAAGAATTTTGTTGCTGCAGCCTGTCCTAGGTTTCAAATTCCTTCTAGATGGACAATTGCTAGAGACATTTTTCAAATATACCTTGATGAAAAAATGACTCTAAAAAGGAATTTTAGGGAACAAACTCAGAGAGTTAGTATAACTACTGATACATGGACCTCTATTCAGAGGATAAATTACATGTGCATTACTGCTCATTTCATAGATAATCAGTGGAAGCTCCAGAAAAAAATAATTTCCTTTGTCCCTGTCACCTCTCACAAAGGGGAGTACCTTGCTAAAGCCCTAGAAAATTACTTACTTGATTGGGGTCTGAAAAGTATTTTTACTGTGACTGTTGATAATGCTAGTAGTAATGATACAGCTGTTGGTTTTTTCAAGAAAACATTAGTAGCCTGGGGTGCTTCTTCTGTAAAAGTAAAGTATGTTCATATGTGTTGCATTGCACACATCTTGAACTTAGCAGTACAAGATGGTCTTAAAGATTCAGACACTTCAGTCATGAGAGTTAGGGAGGCTGTTAAGTATGTTAGGAACTCACCTGCTAGGCTTCAAAAGTTCAAAGATATATCTGATTTGATAGGAGTGGAAGCCAAGAGTGGTCTGCACCTGGATGTTCCAACTAGGTGGAATTCCACTTACCTGATGCTAAAATCTGCAGTTTGTAATGAGAAAGTGTTTGAAGCCTATGAGGAGAATGAATCTGCATATAATACTGATTTGGGTTCTGACATGCCTCATGTTTTAGATTGGATTGCTGTTGAATCTTTTGTGACCATTCTAAAACATTTTTATGAAATGACACTAAGAATTTCAGGCTCACTATATGTTACTTCCAATACCTTTTTTTCTGAAATTTCTGACTTGTTCCTTGTCCTCAAAGATATGGTTGCCTCTCCAACTGCTTCTGTCAGTGCCATGGGGAGTACTATGAAATCCAAACTAGACAAGTACTAGGGTGATCCTGAAAAGATGAACTATCTAATCTTCTATGCTAATGTCTTAGATCCTAGGGACAAGTTTGAGTATATGCCATTTCAGCTAAATGCTTTATATGGTGATAAAAAAGGTGCTGCTTTTTTTCTAAAAGTGAAGTCAGGTCTAACTGAGTTATTTGTTGATTATGTTTCAAGTTACCCTGACTGTGTTGGTGGAACTTCTAATACAACTTTTACTTCTGGAGCATCTATGGAGTGTGGTAATTCTGAAAATAGGCCTGTGTCCAGGTTTAAGGTTGATCTTAAAAAGAAGAAGCTTGAGAGTGGTCAGGTAGGAGTTAAAAAATCTGAACTTGATATATATTTAGCTGAGTCCATAATTGAGGAAGATGGGGACTTTGATATTCTAAGATGGTGGAAGTTAAATAGTGAAATGTTTCCTATACTTTCCAAGATGGCTAGGGATGTACTTGGTGTTCCCATTTCCACAGTTGCTTCTGAGTCCACTTTCAGTACAACTGGTAGGGTTTTGGACTGTTTTAGAAGTTCAGTAAGTTGTAAAATTGTGGAAGCCCTTATTTGTGCACAAGATTGGTTGAGATTGGCTCACCAGCCTATCTCAATTGAAGAAAACATCGATGAAGTAGAGAGACTGGAAAAAAGTATAACTTTTATAGTTTTATGTGTTTTCATGTATTATTTGCTTATTATGAATCTTCTTGTTTATATTTCATAATTCTAACAATTCTCTTTGTTTGTTATAGAAATAATGGATGGAAATGTTGGTGGTGGAACTGCTGCTCCTACTGGATCCTCTATTGTGCCATTAAGTGTACATTTTCTATATTTTTATAGGGTTTAGGGTTGACATTGCTCTTTCAGTTCATAATAAGCATTCTGACTTCTGACCTATATGACATGTTTGGTTTTTGCCATTATTTGGTTGTTTGGCTATGATGAAGCTTCCACTCATTACTGCATTTAGGGTTTAGGGTTGGTGTTGCTCTTTCAGTTCATAAAATGGTAAGTTGTAACTGAAATTGTAGCAGATGCCCCCTATTTCCCCTTATGAATGATAAAAAGCATTCTGAGCTCTATGAAATGTCTGGTTTGTTTCATTATGTGCTTGATTTTGAATGGTGAAGCTTCCACAGTTCCACTCATTACTGCATATAGGGTGTAGGGTTGGTATTGCACTTTCAGATGCCCCCTATTTCCCTTGTGAATGAAAATAAGCATTTTGAGCTCTATGAAATATCTGGTTTGTTTCATTCTGCCATTATGTGCTTGTTTTTCCAGTTATGATACTCCCATATGCCCATTACTTGATATATATTGGAAATGTTGGAAGCTGTTAAGTATATGTAAATATGTAATACACAGTATAGATGTTTAATACTTCAATGCAAATATATATATTGCATGAACTGTGTACTAATTTAGCTCATGAACTGTTTTATATATTGCATGAACTGTATACATTACATTTGAATGAGTATGATTCTGTCATTCTGGAAAGCATGCACATGCAGCCAACTGTCCCCGGACCCTTGTCCCTTGATCTGATTTTCAGGTTTTGCGTAAGTATCTCATTATCCCATTCATCCCTTATTCTATCATTTATATTACTTTTCATTGGCTATGATGAAGCTTCCACACATTACTGAATGTATGGTTTAGGGTTGGTATAGCTCTTTCAGTTCATAACATCTAAGTTTTGACTGAAATTGTAGCAGTTGCCCCTGTATTCCTTGTGAAGGATAACAAGTATTCTGAGCCACTGATTTTTCTAATTTGTTTCATTAACTTATCCTTGTTATTGTACTACATGTATATTGATTTCCATGTGTTCATTAACTTATCTTTGTTATTGTACATATGCAGGGGGAATCTTGAAGGTGTGGTAAATGGTTGTGGAACTATGGAAGTGTGGAATTTGAAATGTTCAAGCTATGACCCTGAGTGGACTGCCTGAGTGGATGTATTGATTTTGCTTAGTTGTAACTTGGAACTTTGCCACTTTGGATGTTGATCCCCTCCCTAAGCTACTCTGTTACTTGATGACTTGTAAATTTGTAATTGAGTAATTTGGTAATTTGAATATCTGGTATCATATGCACATTTTGTATGGGAATCATTTTTTTTTGCAATTTCATTGGATTACACTTATATTTACAGTTGTGAAAGTAAAACCGAATTGACCCGATACCCGAACCGAACCCGCCCTACCCGAAATGCAAAAAAATCCGAAAATATACTAGTTAAAAACCCTAGGGTAGGGCATCCATATTACACAACCGAAACCCGAAAGGGTATTGGTTTTACCCACCCGCCCGATGCTCACCCCTACCCGAACACCGGGAATTGGACCGCAACTTGCAATTGGTGCAAGAAAAACTATAGCTTGGGGATTTCCGGCGGATACGGATCCGCCACAAGACACCTTAAGTCCAAACACCCGGTGGAGTATGCAAAATTAGGCGGCGGAACGGGGAAACAAACGCAAATATCGAGGTTTGCAAATAACCAACAAGCTTTTGGTAATTTCTCATACAATGATGCACAAAATTTGACAGGTATGGCTAACTTACTTGTTGAAGAAAATTTGCCTTATTTGTTTTCTGAAAGTCTTGCTTTTCGTGATTAAGCACAAACTTGTTTAAATCCGCAATATAGAGGTTATAGTCGCAAAACGGTTAAGAAAGAAATTTCAAGGCTTTATGGTGCGGAAAAGGTAAGGTTACAAAATTATTTTGCAAACTTTGATGGACGTGTTACTGTATGTTCTGACATATGGGAGGATACTTATCATAATTTACATTATTTGGGTCTGACTGTACATTATATTGATAATGATTGGCATATGCATAAACGTGTTCTTGCTTTCCGTGAATTTAATGATCGTCACACCGCTGAACATATTTATATTTTGATTGAACGTATTTTAATTGAGTATAATTTAATTGATAAGGTGTTTGCTATTGGTTTTGATAATGCTACTAATAATACTGCTGCTATTCCTAGATTGCGTGAATTGTGTGGTTCTACTTCTTTGATGGGTAGATTTTTTCATCAACGATGTGCATGTCATGTTCTAAATTTATTTGTGCAAGATGGTCTAAAAGCGTTGGGAGCATCGTTGGAGGTAGTCAAGGGGGGGATTAGACGTATTTGGGGTAATGGACACCTTAGGAAAAAATGGCATGATTATTTGATAGAAAGAGGTGAGAGATATGTGGCTTTTCCAAAAGATTTGTCTATTCGTTGGAATAGTACCTATAAGTTAATTGGAGTTCTTCTTAGATATAAACAACATTTTCCTGCTTTTATGAAACAATATGATAACTATATTATAAACTCGGCTGAGATCGACACCTGTGAAAAAATTTGTAATGCTTTGATATATTTTTTAATAATGCAACTGAAACTTTTAGTCATGTTTATAAACCTACCTCAAACCAATTTATTCGTGAAGCTGTTAATCTCGCCGGTGCTTTTTCAAATTTTGAGAATGCTGATTATGTGAGTTATTTTGCTGGTTTTATGAAGGAAAAGTTTTTAAAATATTATTCACATATTCCGCATATTTATGGTATTGCATTTGTTCTCGATCCTCATTTTAGACTTGGTTCTTTAGAAGAATGTTTGAATTATTATTATGCTGCTTTTTTGGTCCATTGCCAATGTATGAGGACAACCCAATTGATCCGAAAAAAGAATACAACGAGGTTAGTGATATATTTTATGCATTATTCAATGAGTTTCATGCACAATATGGCAATGCGCCCCCTCCCCCGACACAAACATCTTCTAAAGGAAAATCAATTTTCAAATCTACGTTTGCCAATCTTATTAAAAAAACAAAATCAACTCCCGCTACACAACAAAGCACAATTAATGAGATTTCTTTGTATTTAACTTATGATGTTGATTTTGAAGAAGATGATGATTTTGACGTACTAAACTGGTGGAAGGGAAAAGAAAGAATGTTCCCGGTTTTAGCAAAGATGGCAAAGCAAGTGCTATCAATGCCGGTTTCAACGGTTGCCGTGGAATAAGAATTTAGTTCGGCCGACAATGTTCTAACACAAACCAGAACGAGGTTGAGCGCTGAATCTCTTGAGATGCTTATATGCTACCACGATTGGTTGAAAGCAGCACGTAGAGCTCAAGAAATTGACATCACTCCATCCCAACACTTTATGGATGAATCTACAACAGAGGGTGGCTCTACCTATGCCGGAGATTCCGATTAAAAACAATTATAGTTCCTATTTAATTTTCAAATGTAGTTCCTATTTCATTTGAAATAAATGCACTTGAAGTTTGTTTTTTAATACTTGTATAAAACTATAAAGTATAAAATATATATTAAAAAAAAAATATTTAACCGGCCCGGCCCGGCCCGGCCCGGCCCGGCCCGGCCCGGCCTGTGACCTGGGCGGGTGGCCCGGCCCGAACCGGACCCGTCCAACCCTCGGGCCGGTCCCGGGACCACTATTCTTGAACCGGCGGCCCGACCGGGCCTAGGCCCGGCCCGGGCCCGACCCGGCCTAGGCCCGACCCGGGCCCGACCCGGCCCGAATCCATCCCTAGGTTATCCATAACAAAGCCTCTTCATTTATGGCTCCCAATTTTTTAAAACTTTATGTGTATTATATAGTAATATTATATATTAATACTAATCACTAAAATGAAAAATATCAGAGAGAGAGTAACTCTAGTGGTCGTCTCCCCTCTTTGTAGGGGTTGAGATTTTCCGCCGCCCCCTACTAGTCATGGACCCGGGCCGGGCCTAGGCTTGGTCGGGCCTCCGGTTTGTGAATAGTGGGTCCGGAACCGGCCCGAGGTACTGGCGGTTCCAGTTTGGGCCGGGCCACCCGCCCGGGTCACGGGTCGGGCCATCCGTCCGGCCGGGTCGGGCCTAGGCAAATCCATTTTTTTATACTCCCTCTGTCCATGAAAATACTTCCAACTTTCCTTTTTCGTCCGTCCCAAAAAGAAGTTCCATTTCCCTTTTTGGCAAAGAATTTGTGGTTCACAACAATTCTTACACATTTCTCTCTCCTCTGCACAACTCTCCACCACACAAAACTCACTTTCTTAATCCGTGTGCCATTTATACTACAGAAGTAAATTATGGGACGGAGGGAGTACTTATTTGTACTTTATAGTTTTATACTTTTATACAAGTATTAAAAACAAACTTCAAGTGCATTTATTTGAAATGAAATAAGAACTACATTTGACAATTGAGAAAAAATATACAATATGAAATACATTTTGTAATCAATCGGAACTTCCCGGACCTCCCGGTCCTTTGGCTTTGTCACATGACTTAATATGCTTCCTTGCCATCCTGTATCCGCGTGAAACCCCCATGCTACACTTTTTCCCGCACCATTTGCAAGTTGCGTACCACATCCCGGTCCTCGGGTCTTTCTGCGTATCAAAATTATACCGTATAACGGCATATTTGTTGGTCCCGATTGTAATAGGAACAGTCTAGAGGGGGGGGGGGGGTGAATAGACTGTTCAGGAATTTAAACTTTTCTCCAAGTCAAGTCTGACTTAACAGAGATGGTCGAAATCTGGTGACAGATATGGTCAAGTTCTGATGGCAGAACTAGACCAGGCAGCGGATAAGTTTCTGTCCGGGTAGCCTCTAGAAGAAAGCTGAGGCAAAATGCCTTTCTGATAACTCTGAAGGAAGATCTGCTGGACACAGATTCCAACCTAAAGAGTTAGTCAGTAGAATCTTAAGTGCAGAAAGTAAAAGCTGAAAGTAAATGACACCGGGGTTTTTATAGTGGTTCAAGGAACAACTCGTTCCTCTAGTCCACTGTTCCACTAAGCTTGCAAAAACGACAGTTTACAATGCCTTAGTCCCTAGAACTTAAGAAGCACTCCTCGTCTTCTTCAAGTCTAGTTGCCACCCGGGATGCAGTCCTGCTTCCTGATGGCTGGTCTCGTTTCACTGAGTCTCTTGAAGTATCTCCACTTCACTTACTCCAGCTAATTTGAGACGTCCCTTCTTTTTCAAGAAGTGTTTGATATAGAATCAGTTTTCTACAACGTTGCTTCTTCACAAAAGATGAGTATATGAAGCTCTCGAAGTGTTGAAGAACTGAGTAACTTTGCCTTTGCTAGTTGGATGAAGGATAGGAATGTTTATCTTCCAACTGTGGCCTTTTCTTGTTAGAAATGGAGTTTTGATCTCAAGAAAGTTGTTCACGCAAATCTATCTTGGCAACGGTTATGGCAAAGTTATCTTCTTTGTTCTTCAGAGTGTATCTTATATACTGGGAGCGGTCTTCCCGTTGGAGTGTAGAAGACAGCTTCATTAAATGCATGTACTGTTGACTTGACCGTTTGGTCCTCCGACTTGCTATTTTGGGGGCGTAAAGATATTCGCATGGTCAATCATCAGCTTTAAATATCTCTTCGTACGTATAGCATTAAATGTGCATTTAATGCGTGTACAGTGCCATGCTTCCGTTGAAAGGTTCGTAACCGTTAGGGGATTTCCCGTTAGTTTAACGACCGTTGGAAGGGCTTCCTAATTCTGATGATACTTAGCAGAGTCTCAAGAGGTTCTCTGGTCCAGTCTCTGAAGTCCGTCTCTGGTGCCAACTCTGGTCTATTTCTGATAACCAGTTTCTGATGGCTTCTCTGGTGAGCAACTCTGGGAGCAGCTCTGGTAGAGACAGGATGGAGCTCTGGCAGGCAGACTAAGCTAAAACTTACAAAAGAAATTCTAATACATAATTTCTAATGGGGTACTTTCAAATTCTAATTAACTTAGCATCATCAAAATCTAAATACATTTATTCCTTACAATTTCCCCCTTTTTGATGATGCCAAAACCCTTTAACTATTTCCAGAGAAGTGCCTTTCACCATAAAAAAATTTAAAGTTAAGAAACTTTTTATTAGAATCTTGGTGGGCAACTTAGCATAGGAGAATAGTAAGAGTACGATACATTCAGATAGCAAAAATCAAGTAAGATAACAGAAAATACACAAGAAAGTAAATAAGAACAGATATTTGAAAAGAGCCAATCAAACAGAGAGGCAGAGATGGTATCTTATTAAACTGTTAGAGAAAGTAAAGCATTACAGAGTTAGATAA